TCATTACTTACATAAAATAAAAATCTGAAACAGACAAAATTCTATTAGCACAGAAAATTATGGGAGAAGGAGGAAAATTTTTCTTTATTTCATACAAGAATTTCAAAAAATACAAAACGCAATGAAAATTGCGGATTTGAGGAAATAACATAACTTAGCAAAGACGAAACACTAAAACAGACAAAAAATTATTAATTCAGAAATTCGAAAAGAAAGCAATGTAGGAACTTACCAAAAATTAAATTCTGAAACAGGCAAAATTTTATTAAGGCAAATATAAATTATTTCATTACTTACATAAAATAAAAATCTGAAACAGACAAAATTCTATTAGCACAGAAAATTATGGGAGAAGGAGGAAAATTTTTCTTTATTTCATACAAGATTTCATACAAGAATTTCAAAAAACAAAACGCAATGAAAATTGCGGATATGAGGAAATAACATAACTTAGCAAAGACGAAACACTGACTTAGCAAATACGAAACATTGAAACAGACAAAAATTTATTAAAACAGAAATTTGAGAAGAAAACATATTAGCTTACCAAAAAGTAAAATCTGAAACATACAAAATTTTATTATCCTAACAAAATTGTACGAGAAGAAGTGAAACAACCCTATCGAAAAACAGAAAATACAATGACAATTACGAAATTAAGATCAATCAACGATAAAACAATTTATTCAAAATGAATTCCTGAAACAGAGAAAAATAATTAGCACATAAAATTCGGGGAAATTAAAATCGCGAAGGGGTGTACAAATCTCGATGCTCGAAATAAAATCGCGAAGGGATATAAAAATGTCGAATCTCAAAATTTAATCGCGAAGGGATACAAAAATTTCTAATTTCGTTAATCGCGAAGGGATACAAAACTCTAATTTTTTACTGTAATCGCGAAGGGATGCAAAAATCTCTAATTTCGATATGTAATCGCGGAGGGACACAAAAATCTCTAATCTCGATATGTAATCGCGAAGGGACACAAAAATCTCTAATCTCAAAATTTAATTGGGCGGGCATAAAAATCTCGAATCGCGAAAGTATGCAAAAATCTCTAATTTCGTAATGTAATCGCGAAGGGACACAAAAATCTCTAATCTCAAAATTTAATTGGGCGGGCATAAAAATCTCGAATCGCGAAGGGATACAAACATCTCTAATTTCAAAATTTAATCGCGAAGTTATGCAAAAATCTTTAATCTCGAAATTTAATTGGGAGGGCATAAAAATCGCGGGTGGCTTTGCTCGTAAAAATTCGAGCAAAACGATACATTTTATATCGTTCAAAAAAGCACATGTAAAATACAAAAAAATATTAGCGAGCATAGTGACAAAATGACTGTCCATCCTAAGATGGACAGCCATTAATAGTTCCCCTCTTCTTTGGCAATTGCAACTTTTGCCGGGGCTCTTCGGCATATAGCCTCTTCTCTCTTCGGCAAAGCCTCACAAAAATCACTCGCGAATTTTTACGGTAACTCGGACATTCTTATTTTTCACATAAAATTTCAATTTCGCTATCAATCTCCATAAACAGATAGCCTACAATTTTATATCTATAAAATTGCAATACTATCCATTTATTTCGATCGGTAACAAAATCGAAATTTTATATAATATGTGTAATAAGTTAGAAAGAAAAATTACTCAAAATAAAAATACGACCAGCGATTCTCAGAATGCGCTGTCCGTAAAAGAATGTCCGAGCAGAATATTTTATTTCACTGCACTTCACTTCACTT